TCCAACACCGTTTCTGTTTAAAACAATTTAGTCAGTTGGCCCTAATAATCCCCCGTTTTAGACGGACCAAATCGAATTTGCAAAGACTGAAGGAATCTTGGCCAAGAATCAATTGTGGAGTTCTTATTAAGCCACTGGTACCATTGTAAAGCATTTCCCTCAAAATAGAAAGGGACAATCTTCAATCATTATTCTTCTTCCATATCATAGAAATCAAATAATTGATTGATTTTGTAAATCCAACATTGTGGGTCACTCAATCCATCATAGCGTGAAACTTGAGGCATAAATTCTTCGCTGCAGCATGATCTCACGAACTTGAAGAGGAAGGATTCGTTGAAGCACTGGATGATGGTTGACACTCTCTATAGTTGTCAAAATAGCATCCAATTTGCAAGTTAATTCTTGAAAACGTTTGTTCATTTGTTCCTTCCACACCTTTACTTTAGCTTGTGTATTGTCCAAATGATCGTCCAAGGATCGGAAGCAAGTTTCACGGGCCATGGTTCAGTGATGAAAGCACCAAATTGGTAGAGATGGGTTAATTTAGATGAAATTTGGGAGAAAAGGAGAGGAGAAAGAGTCTGGAAGGAGTGAGAAAAAAAGAAATTATTTATTCATCCAATCATAGTACATCCTATGTGTCTGACTCTGTTCTCTTTTTATTACACTTGTGAACCATTCTTACTAACCTTTGCATGCTTATTACACGTCAACTCTAAATCTAATTGGCTTTCTTCTTTCCCGCGTAGCTTTCCTTTCAGCAATACTAGGCTCTTGTTGTTCTATTACCTCTGTTGTCCTTGTAACCATCTTCAATTTCTGCTTCTTTGTGCATTCCCGTATCACGTTCAAAAATTGTTGGCAATTATCAGTGTGTTTATATATTATTTTCTTCGTCTCATATATATATGGGAATAACATCTGTCATTTTAAAGGATATAAGCTTATATCCTTTTAGATCATAACCGTTGATTTTCGTCCATCAACGATTATAATCTATTGGATCAAAATTATTAATTAATTAATAATAAATTTATCCCATTAAGTTTGACCCAATAAATTATAACTGTTGATGGACAAAAATCAACGGTTATGATCTAAAATGATATAAGCTTATATCCTTTAAAAGGATAGATATTTTTCCACACACACACATATATATATATTAGATCATCTTAGTTATATTTCCAAATCAAAATTTTAAGGGAAAAGTTGAAATTTCCCCAATGATTTATGTTTGAATCACTCTTTGCTTATTTGGAAAAATATTTTCTTATGTTGCATGAGAATTTAATTCTCATGTTATGACCCTTCGATTTGCGTGCAAAACTTTTTTTTTTTTTTAATAAATGTGGGATCCACCACTAGTTGAGTCACAACATGAGAATTCAATTCTCATGCAACATGAGAAAATCAAATCCCTTTTTATTATCGCTTATTTCCTTACGGCCATTTTTCATCGAATCCACCGTTAACATAGTTAGACATTAGCTTATCTTGCCCATTTTGCCCCCGTTAAATTTGTGCCTCTCTCTCTTCTTCTTCTGTACTGCTCCCTTTTCTCTTTCTGCAACTCATTCTCAATCAGTTATTATGAAAATTGTAATCAATTTTCCTTTCCTTTCCTTTTCTTTTGGGACGATGAATTTATAGATGTTCTGTATCTGTGTTGTAAGCATTTTTTTCAACGTTGGTAAAAAGAACAAAGTGAGGCTGTGCAGAACACATTCAAGAAGCTGGTCAATTGGAATACATGTATTTATCAATATTTGGTTGTAAAATTTGAAGAGGCTACTGAAGTCATAAAAAAATACTAGAGAAAAATAAAAATCGCATCTAGTTTGGTGAGGATTGACATAGCGCACGCGGATAACGGTGGCCAAATATAATTCCCCCGAATTTACTATCTTTATTGCTAAGTTTTTTGTTTGTTGGTTTATGTTTGGAGGTTTTACTTAGTGTTCTTGTTAACTGATTTTTTATTAATTCTTTTTTAAACACTAAATCCTAACACACACACACGCACAAAAAACTTGTTTAACAAAATTAAGATCCTGATATATTTTATTTCTCTACCATACAAGTTTGGTTTTACAACAGTACTATCATTCAAGTAATTAACTCTACATAAGAAGATTAATCCTTCTTAATTCTACTTTGATTACGAAGAAATAATTGGATTGACGGAAGCTAAGAAAGTATATCTATGCAGTTTGTTTTTTGTTGTATCATTGCGGTTTGGGATGCTAGTAAATCATCATAATTCATCAACACAAAAAGTATGCCTCTTGCAGTATAAGTGCGTGGAATGCCCTTCTCTGAATGGTTATGAATGAATCTTGTTGTAAGCAACAATAATAGGATGGTCAAATCTTTCAAAATCAAGGGGGGAGAGAAGTGTGTGGACACGGAGAGAATATTTGAAGGGCCCGACCCTCAAAGTTCCTTTAAAGAGAATTGGGTAAAGAGAGGAGAGAGGAAAGAGATAGGAAGAAGAAGAAAAAAAAGGAGGGACCACTGAATAAATTTTCGTGGACATGAGCATGACAACTGAAGTGGATATATACATGGATCACACGTAATCCTAGATTTTATTGGACCCTTCTCATATACTAAAACTCAAGAGGCTTTTAAGTGATAAAAGTATAACCAAACAATCTCCCATATATTTTTTTGAATACAAACTTGAACTCAAAGTCTAACAAATTATCATTCAATACGGTGCTACTTCGCTAAAATTCTGAAGTTAAGCTCCAAGATTAATAATATTAATAATTTTTTGATTGATGAATTGATTGATAAGTTTATGTCATTGGATTAATTATTTATTCTCTTGACTTTAATAGTTTCTCTAATGATCAAATATAAATGCCAATATCTTTAATATCCAATAATTGAAACATAGCAAGAGAATATTTTGTACAAATTTCATCGGTGGTCATCAAAGAATTAGACCCCACCTATTGATGAATCAAAGAATGATAAGTTGATAACTATTCAATTACATATTTATAATAAACCCAGAATTAAGATTAATAGCATAATTATTGTTAACATGAAATTTGATACCTTATGACAATAATTAAATCTCTTTTTGATTCTTTCAATGTGAATTTAAATTCACATCAATATTTTACAATGATCTAAATAAATCATTTAATAAAATTTTGTAGTATAAATAAAGCCCCTAACTTAATTTAACAGCTGTGATCATCAATAGTGAAGACCGATTATCATGTCCTCTATAAACATATCAATTGATCATATACTCTCTGGACCTTTATGTTTATAAATTATGTGCACATGAATAATAAATAATATTTATTAATAGAATTTAAGAAATAATTATATTATTACATTGTTTTGCTCCAAACGCACAAATAACACAATATCTCCTACTTGCCTGGTGCAAATTTGTGGTCCTTCTAAAACATAAAGAAGTAACATGTCTTTCAAACATAAGTTGAGGCAAACTCTATCACAATATATGGCTCTGTAGAAGAATGTCATCTTAGCAATGTGATTAGTGGCTGTTTGGATGGGACTGTTTAGAAAGAAAAATTATTTCTTTAAAAGTTCTTTTAAGTCATTTTATACATTTTGGTAACAACGTTTAAAGAAAATTAGAATTTTAAATAAAGTTAGAAAGATGCTCTTCTTTTAAATCAGGATTTCTTACTTGTGAAAAAGAAGACCAAAGTCAATTTTTTTTTAAAAATCTACTTGGCCTTCAACCCCACTCCAATCACTGCTATCATATATCCTTTTTTGTAATTCTATGTATAAAAATTCTTATTAATTATAGAGATATAGATTTTTCCTGTTATAAGAGAAGTTTTTTTTTTTTTTTGCAGATACGATACAAAGATGGGGCCCACTGAAAAAAGGAAAGAGAAAAAATAAAAATGAGACTCATCATTTTCTGAAAAACCTATATCACTTAATTTTAACATCCAAGTATTTTTCTTATTTAAAGATATTTTTCATGTATTTTATCCAAACTAAAATAATTTCAACTTTTAAAAAAAAATTTTCTAAAAAAACAAACAAAAAATCATTTTCTTAAAAGGCCATCCAAAAATGTGGGCCTGTTTGATTGTGTTTTGATTTTTTTGTTTTTAAAATTGTTTTGTAGAATAATTATGAAAATAATTATTTTCTGTGTTTTTTTTTTTGTTTTGAAAGTTAAAAACCAAAACAGAAAACAAAAACTTATATATGTTCTCTAAATTTGATTCTAAAACCAAAAAATAGTTAAGTTTTTAAAACTTTTTTTACAAAATAAACCTTACCAAACGAATTTTTTTGTTCTGAAAACTAAAAAACTATTTTAAAAAACAGTAATCAAACATAGCGTAGTCTCTGAATTCCGTAGTTCATTACTAGTTAGTAATTACTCTAGTTTCAAGTCAGTCTGACTGGCGTTGCTTTTTCCCTTTCTTATCCAGGGCGTTTCCCTAAATTAGCTGCAAATCATTTCAGATTTAGTTGTGCAATTTCACCAGTAATCTAGGACTCTTAGGTTGCTCCGCCGGATCACGTATCCAAGTTCGTCTATACCCCGGAGATGTTGCCGTCATTTATTAATAGCCATATGAAACTTCCCTCAGCCAATCCCATCTCCTTGAGCAATGGATCTGAGCCTGTATAGTAATGAAGGATAAATACAAATTTCACATTGAATTTCCTGAAATCTCTGAAAATCACACTATACACCCAAAGGCAGCTGCTGCAAGGTAAAACCAGACTTTCCAAACATTATACAAGTAAAACCCCTAAAGCGAAAAATTCTATCATCCTTAATTTATAAAAATTATCGTGACTATAACCCATTAAATGATCTAAGAGTCAATACATTCTTACTTGATTGCAAGTAAAAAAAAAAAAAAAAAAAAAAAAATTAAGGATATTATATCTCACTATTGCTGATCTAACCATTTTGATGAACAAACCATCTTAATGGCGATATTTTCTATGATTATTATTCTGACAGGTTATCATTATTTGTGCCATCCAAAATGGAGAAACAAACGAGCTAGAGCTTCATCAGTTCCTGAATTTCATTACACAGTTATCATAACAGTTACGATACTTGGAGCTAAGACTATGAGTAACCTCATTTTAACACAATGTGGAAGGTTACAGTCTCCAGAAGCAAGATGAAATTCACAATTCATATGTACAGATCAGCAAACCTCCCAAAGGAAATTAAGCACATATTTCAGTTCAAGTAGTTAATGCAATAGTAAAGTCCTGATCAACTTCTTTTCTGGATGCTTCCCAAAGTCGATGTTCAATCCCCAATTTCCTCAGCTCCAAAAGTCCTTGCTCAACTGAAATTTGGAAATCCACATAAGTAACGGAATGCAAATTCTCTCGAGAATACTAAGCAAGAATTCATCCCATAGTGTACGTACAGTCGATCATCAATGGAGGCAAAATTAAAGCATATTCAATGTGCTTTAAGACCAGCACAATTGAAGCAAAATCAATCAGATATGGGAACTAATTTAGTACCCCTGGGGTAAATGGGTATGAAAAACAGAAGGCAGGAAGAAGGAACAGCTAATTATGTGTTGTAAATATTTGTTATTTTATTATTATTATTAGTATTTGTTGTATTGGGCCAAGCCCATTAGGTCAAGAATTAGGTCAAGTATTAGGTTTTTCATTCTCTATAAATAGAGACCTCATTGTACAGATTATTTACACAATCCAATAATATTTCAAATACCCTTTTCTTTCAAAGTGGTATTAGAGCTCTCGATACTGAGGGCTCTGCTTCCACGCCTACGAAACCTTTTTATTCTTTTTTACGTCTCTTGCTGCCATCAGCCGCCACCGGAATTTTTTTTTCCGGGGACCTCTTAGACCGAAAAGACCATTGCTTCACTGTTCCTCTTTCTTTTTTCTTGTCTATTACACAACAAGAAAAAAACAGAATCAACGTTCAAAACTTAGAACCACCGTACAGAACCTGTTCATCGCGATTGGACCCTTTTTCCGGCGGATTCTTCACTCCGAACAGCCACAGAAACCATCGCGCTCGCCGGACGACCTTTGCCTGAAAAACCCAGCACCATCGGAGGTCAGACGCGCCGCCCTTGTCTCTGCGCGTGAATCCCACGCGCCGCCAGCTTCACCGGCGCGTGACGGTGGTTCTCGGCCGCGGACCACCACGGTTCTGATCGTCTCTCCAAGCCGACTCTGGATCTGTGCTCTCCACTTTGATCAGACATCGTTTGGTATTTTTTCCGAATTTCTTGGCTTCTTGGAGTTTGTTCTTTCACCAATTTCTTGCCTCCGACCAGATCTGACGTTGTTTGGTATTTGTTCCGGCCACTGTGTTACTGTTTCGGCCGCTGTGTTACTGTTCCGGTCAGATCTGACGTTGTTTAGTATTTGTTTGTGATTTTTTGGCTTCTTGGTGCTATTCTTTGACAAGTTTTGTGCAGTATGGCCTCTTCTCAAAGGAGTTACTTTACAAAGTTTTCTGATGGTGCAACTTCTGAACCTAAGAGAGATGATCGATGGTGTTCTTATTGTAAAAGAACAGGTCATATCAAGGATCTATGCTTTCGCCTCCATGGAAAGCAAACTGTCTTAGAAAAGATGAATAGGATGCATGGTCAACAGCATTTTACTTCCTCTAAAATAAATTATGCATTTCGTCCAGATGAGTTGGAACGGCTCCGAACCCTCCTTGATTCTTTGAGTAAGCCATCTGATACTAGTACTTTGACTATGACTGGTATGAGCTCCAAAACTTATTCTTTCATTTCTTCATGTAATGATTTTAAACATTCTTGGGTTGTTGATTCTGGTGCTACTGATCATATGGCTTGTTGTGCTGACTCCTTTACTTATCATCCTACCAGTGGAACTCATACAATAGCCGTAGCTGATGGCTCTCATACATCAGTTGCGGGTTCTGGTGACATAAACTTACAGCAGTCCTTACATCTTAAGGATGTTCTTCATGTTCCTAAACTCTCCACGAATCTTCTTTCGATTCATAAAATTACAAAAGATTTGAATTGTACTGTAACCTTCTATCCTACCCATTGTGTTTTTCAGGATCTCGCCACGGGGAAGACGATTGGTAGTGCTAAAGAGCAAGGTGGGCTGTACTATCTGGTGTCACAATCTCCTGCAAATAAAGTAACAGATCACATCTTGATGTCTCATGGTCAATCAACTGCTGATTCTTTGATTTGGCTTCATCATAAGCGCTTAGGTCATCCTCCATTTAGTTTACTCAAATCTTTATTTCCGTCATTGTTTTTGTCTAAGTCTGTTGAGTCTTTTCATTGTGATGTTTGTGAATTTGCTAAGCATCATCGTGTGTCTTTTCCTTCTAGTATTACTAAGAGTGTTGAACCTTTTGATCTTATTCATTCTGATGTTTGGGGTCCCTCTAAAGTCCCTCATGCTTCTGGAAATAGATGGTTTGTTTCTTTTATTGATGATTGCACTCGTGTAACTTGGGTGTACTTAATGCATGAAAAGTCTGAGGTACCACAACTATTCTTTCAATTTTATAAAATGGTTGAGACCCAGTTTGGTAAAAAAATCAAGAGACTAAGAACAGATAATGGTATTGAATATGTTAATCATAGTTTTTCCCAATTTATAAGAAATAACGGTATGATTCATGAACTTACTTGTGTTGACACCCCCCAACAGAATGGGGTTGCTGAAAGAAAAAATCGCCACCTTCTTGAAGTGGCTCGTGCATTAATGTTTCAGACACATGTACCCAAATACTATTGGGGAGATGCTATTCTTACTGCAGCATTCTTGATCAACCATTTACCCACTCGGGTACTTGACCATGTAAGTCCTATTCACTCTATGACTTCTTTTTTCCCTTCTATTCCAATTATGAGTCTTCCTCCACGTGTGTTTGGGTGTGTTGCTTTTGTTCATGTTCATAAACATCATCGCAGTAAGTTGGACCCTAGGGCTATTAAATGTGTTTTTCTTGGTTACGCTCCTGATAAGAAGAGCTACGAGTGCTATCACCCTAGTAGTAGGAAATTTTTTGTTTCTATGGATGTTACATTTCAGGAATCTGAGTCTTTTTTCCAAGGTCCTCATCTTCAGGGGGAGAATCCTTCACCAGAAATCTCATCACCTCCCTTCTTTGAGTTTGAATCTTCAGTGTCTACTCCTTTACCTGTGTCAGTGTATCCTCCTCTTGGTCCTGTTCCTCCTGTGTCTGTTCCTCCTGTGTCTGATTCTCCTGTGATTGATACATCAAGTACACCAGAAATACGGAAGATTATGACACCTGAGTTGGTATATCAAAGAAAGAAACAGCCCACATTGCCTCAGCAGCAACCTCAATCGTCTGAACCACTGGTAAGTCCTGAATCTCATATTTCTGATCATGATGTTAATACTTCTGATGACTTACCCATTACTACTGATTCTGATGATTTACCCATTGCTCTTAGAAAAGGAAAAAGCGCTTGTCCCAAGAAATCTTGTCCCTCATGTACTCAATACCATATCTCCCATTTTGTTTCCTCTGCTAATCTTTCTGTGCAGCACAAAAGCTTTGTTTCAGCACTAGACTCTATTGCAATCCCAAAATCAGTACATGAAGCCTTGAAAGATGGGAATTGGGCTCAAGCCATGCAAGAGGAAATGAATGCGTTGGAGAAAAATAAAACATGGGAGGTTATTGATAGACCTAATGGAAAGAAAGCAGTAGGGTGCAGATGGGTTTATGTCCTGAAATATAATTCTCATGGAACTCTTGAGAGATACAAGGCTCGATTAGTTGCCAAAGGTTACACTCAAACCCATGGCATTGATTATGAAGAAACATTTGCTCCAGTTGCAAAGATGAATACGGTGAGAGTCTTGTTATCCCTTGCTGCCCATTACAATTGGGATATAAATCAATTTGATGTGAAAAATGCTTTCCTCAATGGTGAGTTAGAAAAAGAAGTCTACATGGAAATCCCGCCTGGTTTTGATTCTGTGAAGGGAGAAAATAAAGTTTGTAGGTTAAAAAAGGCCTTGTATGGATTGAAGCAGTCACCTCGTGCCTGGTTTGGAAGGTTTACTAAGGTTATGATGACCTTAGGATACAGACAGAGTCAAGGAGATCACACTCTTTTCTTCAAGCACTCCCATAATGGGAAGCTTACTGTGCTCCTTGTATATGTTGATGATATTATTATCACAGGCGATGATTTTGTACAAAAACAGATTCTGCAAACACGGCTTGCCTCTGAGTTTGAAGTCAAAGACCTTGGGAAACTGAGATATTTCCTAGGGATAGAAGTAGCTCATTCAAGGAAAGGAATTTTTATTAGCCAGAGGAAATATGTTCTTGATCTTCTCAAAGAAGCAGGAAAGCTCGGGTGTAAACCCTCTAATACTCCTATTGAGCAGAATCACAAGATAGGCTATGAAGAAGAGAGTCCTCTAGTTGATAAAGGACAATATCAACGGCTAGTTGGGAAATTGATATATCTGGCTTATACTAGACCAGATCTAGCTTATGTTGTTAGTGTTGTCAGTCAGTTTATGCACGATCCAAAGGAGAAACACATGCAGGCAGTAGAGAGAATTCTGCAGTATCTTAAAGCTACTCCTGGTAAAGGATTGTTATTCCGACGTGATGGCAATCTCTCTTTAGAAATTTACACTGATGCTGATTATGCTGGATCTGTGACTGACCGTCGTTCTACCACTGGTTACTGCATGTTTCTTTGCGGTAACTTGGTGACATGGAGAAATAAGAAACAAGATATGGTCGCCAGATCAAGTGCAGAAGCTGAATTTCGAGCTATGGCTCAAGGCATTTGTGAGTTACTGTGGCTGAAAATTATACTTGATGATCTCAAAATAAAATGTGAGGGACCTATGAAGCTGCTATATGACAATAAGTCCGCTATTTGTATAGCTCATAATCCAGTTCAACATGATCGGACTAAACATATTGAGGTCGACCGCCATTTCATCAAAGAGAAACTTGATAGCGGGTTGATTACCACTCCATACATTCCCACTGGGCGTCAATTAGCTGATCTATTGACAAAAGGACTTCCTTCAGACAGATTTCAAGAACTTACTAGCAAGCTGGGAATGATAAATATCTATTCCTCAGCTTGAGGGGGAGTGTTGTAAATATTTGTTATTTTATTATTATTATTAGTATTTGTTGTATTGGGCCAAGCCCATTAGGTCAAGTATTAGGTTTTTCATTCTCTATAAATAGAGACCTCTTTGTACAGATTATTTACACAATTCAATAATATTTCAAATACCCTTTTCTTTCAAGTTTATGCTTTTAGAATATAGTAATTTAGTATATGGCATTGACAGTAACACCAATGACGCACTGGGCACAACACATACTGTGATACATCAAAATTTCAAGTGCCCAGCTACATTTTGAAGACTGCAGTGCAGTGTTGTATCTGTGAAACAAGTGGCCAATACAATTCCGACATAGACACACTTTAAAGTGTCCATGTTTCATATTAACAAAGAAGACTCTTCCCTTCCTCGTCCTTGCCCAAGTCTAGACTCTAGGCCTACCAATTGAGAACCGTGCATGTTGCAAGGAGTGTTATTCAACTATGTCTTCCATGATTAAAGGCAAGATCAGTATCAAAACATCCACCCAAGCAATATGTTAATCGTGGCACCATAATTGAACATTACACTTCCCAACCAATTAGCATGTACTACGAAGTAATTAATTAAAATAAAAATTGTTAAACACTACCATCAACAGCATCATGAGAGGTAGGTGAATGCCCACTCCGACCAATCCAAAACTGAAGACGTTCTTTGGCAATGTCCTCCTCTATAGCATGAGCCTTGGCTCTTCTCCAAAAATATGTCAGCCAAGCCTGTCCAAAAAGAGTGAATTTACTTAGAAGGCATGTTTCAGTATTACAAACCACATTTCTTGTCAGATAGATAGAGAATAATGAGTGTTATCATCAACTTCACTGTTCACAAATCCAAACTAGTTGCAAGCCACCAATATTTATGACAAGGTTGAGAGGGGCTAGAACGGTGGGGTAAATGACTAAAAAGTACATGTTACAAAAATCAAAATCAAAGAACCATGTAATCCAGAATCCAGAAAAGCATACCTTCTCCAAGAAGAGAAATTAAATATACTGCAAAAGACACAGACATCCCAAGAAGCTGCCAATAATAAAGAGCATGAATAGTTCATGAGAAAATGGAATACCTCCTTGAAAAGAACATCTTCGGACTCCTCTGGACTCAATTCTACATAAAAACAATGATATTTAGCATACCTTTAATTTATCATTTGCACGAAAAGGGACAATGCACAGCTATTTCAGCAAATAGTAGGTGGGGGAAAACTTACCAAAGGCTTCCATAAACTTAGGGTCTCCGGGTGATTTAATATCTGGCAATGTCCAAAAGTATATAGAATATTATCAGTAAATATGAAACACAGATTTTAATCTGACAGATATTAATGTGTATAGAAAACAGGCCCATAGAGAGGCAACCTAAATCTGTGCACCCTCAATGGACCCACTATCCTCCGGTAAATTTTTTTTACAGGAAACTGTGTCTTCCTCCCAGTTAGCCATCTTACCCCCGCAGTGTATCTTTCCAACAACCCATTCTCCTTCCCCTTCACATCTGTCAGTGGTGGTTTGCCAGTCATCAGTGGGCTTTTCACCCCGCCACCACCACCTCCTCTCTGGCATGCTTCGATTGACAAGACCCTGAAGCTGCGCCATCGCCTGTCCTTCCACACATTTGCATGCGCCTCCTTACACTTGCTACTCTAGCACCTACTCGCCACTTTCTAGCCATGCATGAGAGCGCATTTGGCCATTTTTGCAGCCACCATCGGTGTTGCTTTACTCGCCATCCGCTCCTCTATTCAAATATGGACCCACCTTCTCCCATCATGCCTTAAGTTGACAAGTACCGTGGTGGTTGTTTTTGCCCTTCATGATTTGAGCCATGCTGGTGTTGATACCCAGATTCCTTGAAAAACACCTCAAAGGCTGAAACCTCTGTTTTTTTACCAATTTTGTTAATCCTCATCTCTATTGACAAATTGGATGGAAGCAACCATGATACTTGGGCTTTTCACATCAAGTTGTCGCTTTTTGGCCAAGGCTGCAAGCATCACCTCACCAAGAAGGCTGATTCTATGCCTGAGGCTGAACGAGTAAAGTGGGAGAAGATTGATGCCTAGTTGTTTAGCGTGATAAAATCCACTATCCATTCCTCTGTAAAGTAGATCTTCCGCACATATCTCACCTAAAAGTTTGTTTGGAAGAAAGCCAGCGTCTCTATGGGGGTTTGTCATGATCTTATTAGCATACCTTCCCCCGGAAGTTTGGTGGTCTTGCATCTACTTATTTGAAAAATCCATGGCACCCTACCTAACTTTAGTGAATCTGTTACCTCTCGATTATTATAAGGTAAGAATTACAGAAATAGGGTTGCTAAATGCAAAAAGGAAAGATAGAAAAGGAAGGAAAATGATAAAAAGAATTATTCTTTATCTTGTGCCTACTCCCATCAACAAAATGGGGTTGCTAAATGCAAAAACCGACACCTTGTTGAAACTTCTCAACCCTCATGCTTCATGGTCATGTTTATTTCCACTTTTAGTGTGATGCAACTTTTATTTCCTACTACTTGATTAACTGACTGCCCTTTTTTGTGCATGATAACCAAGTGGCTTGTTTTGTAGTGTTTCCTCCTCAACCTCTACATTCATTTCCTCGTCATGTTTTTGAATCGACTTGTTTTGTCCTTAACCTTACTCTTAGTCTTGACAAACTTTCAATTCAATACATTAAACATGTGCTTCCTAAGTGCATTTGGTGCCAAAATAGTTATCATTGTTTTCCTCCTTCTATCCATCATTACATTGTCTCAACTACTGTTCCCTTCTCGAGTCTTTTCACTTAGTTCATAACTAATCCTACTTCTACGGTCCAATATGTACCACCTTTTCTTATCCCAATTGAGTCAAATACAACACAGAGTCCTCCTATTAAGAAAACTACCACTACATCTTGCCTTCTTCAAATCTATCATTGTTGACCCCAACCACCTCCAAATCCCTTACCTCCTATGCACGCTAGTGAGGTCAATGATAACTCACCCCCAAAACCAACTCCTTTGCTAGCTCCGAAATTACCTCCTAAGCTTGAACTTCTCATTTCTTTAAGAAAATGTATACAGTCCATTTGTAACCCTTTTCTTCATTATGTTGCTTTTAGTTATTAACTTGGCATAATGTCTTTCTTCCTTGTCTTCTATGTTTATACCTAAATCTCCAATTTTGAATGGAGACAAGCTTTTGATCAAACAATGGTACTTGGAAGCTGATTCTTTTACCTCTAAGGAAACCTATTGTAGGCTGTTAGTCTTTATATAGTCAAGATTGGTCCTGATGACAAAGTTGATCACCTTAAGGGGGCGTTTGGTATGAGTGATATTTTTTTTTACCGAGAAAAAAAGATTGTTAAGAATTTGGTAGGAAATTTTTATTCCGGGTAAGTTACGAAAAAGTGTTTGATTGGCCAAAATTTTGCCGAAAAAGTTGGGTTATTTTACTGATGCTATGTTTGGTTGATAGTAAAATATTGATGAAAATGTGAATTGAAATTACCAAAATATCAAAGACCATGAGAAATCTCTTTACACATGATGTCATATATTACAAGGGTATTTTTGACTCAATATATTATATTCAAAATCCAAGACTATGGCAAAAAAAAATACCAAAGATTAAGTGGAATAATATTTTGCCTTTGTGTAGTTGAAAAGGAAAATACTGGAAAAAAAAATTTGCTGGCATTTTGTTCACAATACCCATACCAAACATGGTAAATAAATATTCTCCACCCCAGTTTCCCATCATTCCATACCAAATACCCATACCAAACACCCCCTAAGGTTCATTTGGTGGTGAAATGGTACACTCAAATTCTTGACTTGGTTTATGGAGACACATTCTATCTTGTGGCTAAAATGGACTTTGTACAACTCTTTCTCTTTGGCCTCTATTCACCTCTTTACTAGCTAGATATTCCAGCATGGTAATCTCAATGAAAAAGTTTACATGAAGCAACCCCTTGGTTTAATTGCTTAGGGGGATTATGGCTTAGTTTGTCATCTTCATAAATTTTTGTATGGCCTCAAGAACTCTCCATTGGCTTAGTTTTGATGATTTAGTTTTTGTCATCCAACAATTTGGTATGACTTGGAGTGAAGCTAACTATTCAATGTTCAATTGCCATATCACCCAAGGTTACATTTATTTCATAATGTATCATGTATGTATGTATGCATAGGTTACATTTACTTGATAATGTATGTGTATGACATTGTCATCATAGTTAGCGACCACCACGACATAAGTAAAAAAATCCTTCTTGTCACCTTTAAACCAAAGACCTTGGCAAACTTTGATACTTGAGAATTGAGGTGGCACAATCCATGGATGATATAGTCATTTCACAAAGTATGCTTGCTATGGATATGAATATATGATTGCAGAAATAGGCTTGTTAAATGCCAAATCCATTAACACGCCTATGGATCCAAATCACAAACTTCTATCAAATCAAGGGAGCTATTATCAAATCTAAAAAGGTAAGGAATATTGGTTGGGAAGCAAAACTACCTCATTGTTACCAGTCCAGATACTTTTGCGTTCAATGTGGTTAGTCTTGAATTCCCATAGTGAAGGTCATTGGAATGCAATGATTCATATCTTAGAGTATATGAAAGGAGCTCTAGGAAAATGTCTCATCTATGAAGATAAAGGACATATGCAGATTGTTGGCAGCAGGATCTCTTAATTGGGCATTGTGTATTCCCTGGGACGGGGGCAATCTGATATCCTAGCAGAATGTTGTTGCAAGGTCAAGTGCAAAAATAGAATACCGAGCTTTGGGCTCAGCTGCTTCTGAACTCATTTTGAAAACAACTTTAACAACCAAGTAGCTTTGCATATCACCTCCAATTCAATGTTCCATGAGAGACCAAACACACTGAGGAAAACTATCACTTCGTCATGGAAAATATCTTATTAAGAGATATCACACTACTAGCTTGGTCAATTCCACTGATCAATTGGCGGATGTCTATAGCAAGCTTGGCACATATTATCTATATGCTCTGATTTAAGGGAGAACATTGGATATGTAATTAGTCTTGTAACTTAGTTTAGTGTCTAGGTGTATTATACATATAATTAGTCAAGTCCCAATTCATTGTATATAGATTAGTCAGCTCATATCTTATAATTAGAAAAATTAAGACCTGTGAACTTATTATTGGATTAATAAATATATTTTGTAGTTTGTGGTATGAATTGGTACACGGTTTTAAGCATACACTTCTCTTTTCTCTCTCTCAACAGTGTATATCCTAATAAATTACATGATCTGGGTTGACAGTACCACGAAAAGTAGGAAGATAACAAGAATAGTGGCATAAGCAGGAATGCATACCCGAGACTGATTGTCGAGCAGAATTTGGACGCCTCTGTTGGGCTAATGCTTGCACAATAGCGTCCTCAACCTTAGAAGAAAACAACCAAAAAGAAGAGAGGAAAAAAACATTGGCATTGCATTTATGGCGGCTCTTTATTGAGAAACCTATGCAGCAAATTCAATGACATTTAAACAAGATCACAAAAACTGAAACGGCTGAATTATGAAAACATGCAGGAGACAAACATGAGGAAAACAAGACCACCAATGCATTTGAAGAAAACCTTTAAAGAAGCAAGCTCCTTCAATCCCATTTCAACTGAAAGCATACTTTCAATATTTCCTTCTCCAGTAAGATCATTCAAATCCGGCACAAGTTTGTTCCTTTTCTCGGTTGCATCATCACCTGCTTAAAAATCAAAAACTATTACGTTCGGAAAATTAATAGCTCTATGTAACAGAATAGTGAAAATCATCACTCATATGAATCGTAGAGTCCAAATCTTTATTTCATGCCTTTTTCCCAGCATTCCTCCTTAGCCTTTTGTCCTGCAGAAACAACAACCTCAAACGGAAGAGGGGCTAAGGATGACCAAAGTTCATACTTTGAAACCGCAACATCTGCACAGATGCCTATCAACCATGGCAAAAATTACACACTATACAAGAAAGCAGTAAGCGAACAATGAAATTATTCACTTGTGCAAATCAGCTGAATTCAAACTAGATATACAGTCAAAATATAACTATATATGCATACAATCATACAAAAATTTAAATACCGATACTTAAAAGCTTTGATAATGCATTCCAGTGCTGCCAAGATACCTTTACCCCACCACCAAAAGAATAACAAAAAAGGAATATTAGCCACTGTTGAGATATATAAAGTCATTAATGTAACCTCACCCAATAGCTTAAGCTTTTGGGTTGAATTGGTTCTTTACATGGTATCAGAGCCTCGTGTCCCGGGTTCGATCCTCGCCGCCCCCCACTTTCTTTCAAGTGGAATTTCTTTGTTCGCACAGGTAGGTGGGCTTGTGCATTGTCCACCCTTCAAGCCCACTAGGCTCTCGTGTGAGGGGGCGTGTTGAGATATGTAAAGAACCTTGGGATACACCACCCCAAAAGCTAGCTCAAAGGGTGGGAGTGCCCAAGGCCTTATAAACTCCACATTAGTTGCATATACAACCAATGTGGGACTATATAATCTCAACACGCCCCCTCACACGAGAGCCCTTTGGGCTTGAAGCGTGGACAATGCAACAGGCCCAACCTACCTGTGCTAAGAAACTCCACAAGAGAAAGTGGGGGACGGCGAGGCTCTGATACCATGTAAAGAACCTTGGGATACACCACCCCAAAAGCTAGCTCAAAAGGTGGGAGTGCCCAAGGCCTTATAAACTCCACATTAGTTGCATATACAACCAATGTGGGACTATATAATCTCAACAAGATATATAAAATCATTAATGTAACCTTACCCAACAGCTTAAGCTTTTGGGTTGAATTGGTTCTTTACTACCACCACCTACAGTAGCTTAGTTTATTTTGCAGCGAAATCCCAATATATAATCAGACACTCATTAGTTTTAGAATAATACTAACATGCATAATTTATAGGGCAACCTGATGCTATAAAACTGCCACCGTGGGCAGGGTCCGAAAGGGTCTGTAGTAGACAGTCTTGCCTTGCATTTACAAGAGGTTAATTATATGAATCGTGCCGGTAACCTCCAGGTCACATGGTGAGCACATTAACCATTGTGCCAAGGCTCCCCTTCAATGCTAACATGCATATACAGTGAAAAAATGATAATGAAAAGCTCTGAAAGTTTATATATTGTCAAAAGTAATTAACATATGGAACTTGTCAAATATCGTGACCTGAGGGGTATATGTTGAAATCTATGCGTTTCAAGTTTCAACTACATAGCGAAGGCTTTATTATATAACTAAATGAAAAGGAATTACAAAGAGATATATATGATGTGGTACTTTATCCCTCACACTAAACTACTTATACAACTCTTATTACAACACTCTCCCTCAAGCTCGAGCATATAAATCATATGCACCAAACTTGTTACATATAATCTATTCAAGGACCTCTCAAAGACTTAGTGAATACATCATCCAGTTGATCATTTGACTTAATAAAGTTGGTGATGATATCTTCCGAGAGGACCTTTTCTCTGACGAAATGACATTTTATCTCAATGTGATTAATCATTTCATGAAACACTGGATTGAAAGTAATACACAAGGCAACTTGATTATCACAAATGAGAGTTGCTGGTCCAATGTCTCCAAACTTGAGCTTCTTAAGTAGTTGTTTTAGCTAGCTGAGTTCACAAGTAGATGTTGTCGTGGAACAATATTTTACATCAGTACTCAATCTAGCAACTACACTATGTTTTTAATTTTCCAGGAAATTAAGGGTCTGTTTGATTGTGTTCTGTTTTTTTTTTCTTCTTAAAACTGTTTTGTAAAATAGTCAACGAAATATTCTCTGTTTTTTTGGTTTTGAAAGTTAAAAGTTAAAATACAAAACAAAAACAACTCAGATATATTCTCTAAATTTGATTCTAAAAACAAAAAAATAATTACAATTTTTTTAAAATTTTTCACAAAACAAGCCTTATCAAATAGTTTTTTTTTTCTGAAAACCAAAAAAATGTTTTTAGAAACAATATTCAAACAAGTCCTGAGTTATCTCCATCCAATACACAATACCCAGAGGTACATTTTCTATCATTAGGGTAACTTGCTCAATCAACATCTAAGTATCCCACAACCTTAGTATGACATTTGTCTCCATAGAAGAGACATTTTCCTGGAGTTGTCTTGATGTACTAGAGAATACAAAAAATAGTATTCCAGTAATCTTCACGAGGAGAATTCAAGGCTTGACTTGCCACACTGGCTGCAAATGAGATGTCTTGTCAAGTGACTGAGAGGTTGTTCAATTTCCAAACTAATCTTCTATGCATTTATGTATCTGAGAATGGCTTCCCCTGATTGGAAAAGGATTGACATTTGAATCCATAAGAGTCTCGACAGGCTTAGCATTCAACAGAGTTGTCTCCCCAAGAATATCCACAACATATTTTCTCTGGAATATCACAATATTATCTTTGGATTGGGCCACCTTTATCCCTAAGAAATACCAAAATCTTCCAAGGCTTTTTGTCCGGAAAAAATGGCGGAGATGTTTTACATGAGTAATACCATGATAATCACCACCCGTAATGACAATATCATCAACATACACCCCTAAATAAATGGATCTCAAAACAGAGTGGCCATAAAATACTAATTGATCAACCTCACTCCAAGTCATACCAAACTGTTGTACAACAATTCTAAATCTTCCAAACTAACCCTTTGAAGATTGTTTGAGACTATAAAGTGACTTGCAGAGACAACAAACTAGGCTAGACTCCCCGTGAGTAACAAACCCAGGAAGTTGCTCCACCTAAACTTTTTTCGTAAAATCAGGCTTTTTAACCGTTTTAGTTCAAAATTTAAAAAGTTTGACCGGATTAAACTCCTGGTCAAACTTATTACCAGCGTAATGCAAAACGTGTTATCATTGTGATTGCGTTAAACACGGCACATATGGTACTGTGTTGCAGGAAAATTGGAGCTACTAAGACACGATAAAGTCATAACCGAGTTTGAAACTTGCAAAGATGTGGCACCACTACTACTGCATTTCAGGTGTCATACATCAGCGTCCTTTCTCGATACCATGTAAGTACTCCCATTCCTTTGTTCTTATTTTCAGACTATTTAAGAACGGGCATGGTCATATTTCGGTCACATTATCAGTTAAAACTTTAAAAGAATTTTGTTATATTGCAAAAATATGGAAACTAAGAAGTTCTTGCTGTAACAGAAAAATCCATTATCCCATATGCTAGTTTAAGGTTTCCATTTATCTTCTCTCTTCCTTTTCCTTAACGTGTGTGTGTATGTTATTTGTTTACTTTTGTTTTGTTTGTTCGAGACAAAGACGAAGGAAAGGAGCATAACAATGTCAAAAGCAAGAAGAAGAAAGTTACCTTCAATTTGAATGTACAGATATATGAGCCAAACCCCACTGCTTATCAGGTATTGGATAATGAGGAAGAAGAAAACAAGAAAACCACTGCCAAACGAGAAGGAAGGAGCTTACCTTCTTCGATCTTAGGAGGAGAAGGATTTGTAGCCTTGACTGTGAGATACCTTAAAGTTCATAAATATAAGACCCTTAAAAAACTTAATAACATCATACCTTAAAGAAGAAAGTACAGGTGCAGTGCAAATTTTTTACTCTCGGATGGTCAAACTGAATAGAAACTAAAGTGGGCGTAAATTTTTTAATCTTGGACAAAATAGAAATTGAAATGGAAGTGAGTTCAAATTTTTTAATATTGGATAAAAGAGAAACTGAGCCGGGAAGAAATCTTTTAATGAGAACGATGAATGAAAACGACAGAGGTATATAGACAGGGAGACGGTAAGCATACTACTGCGTCTAGAAGCGGCATGCACAGAGCCGTGATTGCTGGCATCTGACACCTGAAAAGCGGTAGCAGTGATGCCCTGTCTTTGCAATGGTCAAACGCGACTTTGACTCTACCGTGTCTTAGCAACTTCAATTTGCGTGCAACACGATACCGTATGTGCCATGTCTTAACGCGTCGTTTTGCATTACTCTGGTAGTAAGTTTGACCAGGAGTTTAATCTGGTCAAACTTTTTAAATTTTGAACTAAAACGGTCAAAAAGCCATAAGATCATCATGGCGAAAAGCATTCTTGACATCCACTTGATAAAGAGGCCATAGCAGCCGTAATAAGAAAGAGGCAAACAAAGGACATTTTTGTCATTAGGGAGAAAGGATCTCTATAATCTTGGCCAAACACCTACGTATCCCTTGGCCACAAACCAAGACTTAAGACGGTCTGCCTGACTATTCGGACCAACTTTGAACGCGTATATCCATCTACAACCAACAGTAGATTTCCCAAAGGGAAAGAGAACGAGATCTCAAGTACCACTGCTCTAAAGGGAACACAACCCGTCAATCGTAGCCTGTTGTCATCCAGAATGAGATAACATCTCACCTGTAGTCTTAGGAATAGAGTTAAAAGACAAAGAAGAGAGAGAGAGAGAGACAAGCAAAATGCGAGGGAGAAAAACAATGATAACTCAAAGTAACATAATAAGGTGAGAGATTACGAGAACTATAAACGCCTTTGTGGAGAGTAATGGGCATGTCAAGGTCAAAGGGTGGGGCCGGAGCCGCAAGCAAAGATGATGTTGGAGGAGAGTCCGCATGAACCTCAACATCAAGGTCAGTGGCCAAGGGCATCAGTAGATGTGACCGACGATGATAAAACTAGACGGCGATGATGCCAAAATCGCATAGAAAAGATGGCTAAACAGAAAGTTAGGATTTTACAAAAGAGTAACCCTCCGATTGTCAATTTCTATTAACAAAATAACAAAATTCAACTCCTAGAATAAAGGTCTTAAGCACTATTTTATAAACTCATTACAAATTGATCCAAAATTCAAAATCTAAAATTCTAAAAATAATAAATCTTAGATATCAAATCATGTCAAATGTGTTGCTTTCCTTTTA